AGGTGTAGAGGATCTCGGAGGTGGACAGGGCGCACAGGAAGAGGTACATGGGCGTGTGCAGGCTGCGCTCGCTCCAGACTGTGGCCATGATGAGCAGGTTCCCCAGCAGCGTGAACAGGTACATGAGCAGGAACAGCAGGAAGAAGGCGGGCAGGAGATGCCTTGGGAAGGTGGAGAAGCCCACGAGGATGAATTCGGACACAGAGCTGTGGTTTCGGCCCAGCGTGGCAGCCATCCCTGGGTGGGGAGAGAGCGAGGGCGGCCAGGTGGGCGGGAGCTATGGATGTGTGCTGAGCCCAGCCTGGGAGGACTTCCCTGAGGAGGTACCCCCTCACCCCACAGGCCATGGCCGGTCCCTCGGCCACAGGCTGCTCGTGAGGACGGTCAGCGCTCCTCTGAGCTGCACGGGGTTCACGGAAGATCCTGGGCCTCAAGTGCTTAGCGCTGGTCCTGGTGCGTGGTAAGAACTCAGTAAAAAATAATACTGACAATTATTATGACTACTGCTATTACCATTATTGACCCCATGCACAAACACCAGGATTTTCTGTCTTTGAGCATGCAGGTCACTCCATGTTCTCCCCAACTTGTGACTCCAAATCCTTCCTGATTTTAAGAGCCAGCTACTCCCTAACAGCCAGCTCAGCTGGAAGTCTCATCTCCTGCGTATCATGGAGAGGACGTAGGCTCTGGTTAAATCTCAGCAGAATCCCTTACTAGCTCACCTGGAACATGGAATAATAATGCTTACTCCACACGGCTGCCATGGCACGTAGGTGAAGGGATGCACATTCGGTTCTTAGCTACTGTGGTTGTTGTGCGGCCTGACTTGCGTGAGTCCCTCACAAGGACATGGCCTGACTGGCATCACCAGAGTCGCATTCTCTGACCCCTGCTGTATCGCTGATCATTTCACGATGCCATTCTCTGAATACCCGCCCCTCGAGTCCTAGCCACGCCACTATCCCCAACCTCCTGCTTCCTGGAGCAAGCAAGGCTCCCAGCTACAGGTTCTCCCACATCCTTCCCCAAGTGACAACAGACTCACATCTGGCCCAGCTCCCCGTAAAGGTAGCTTTCCTTCCAAACACCTGCTCCATCTGGTGTCCCCTCTCTGTCTCTCTGCTTTCCTTTCTGCCACCAACAGGCTTGATGCAAAAACGCAACATTTTTTTTTTTTTTTAATCGCAGGATGGATCAACAGATGAGTGGATAAATGAAAAGTGGCATGCCCATGTAACAGGATACCAAAAGCACAACACGTGGCCCATGCTACGACGCGGTTGAACCTCAAAGACATTATGCTGAGCGAAAGAGGCTAGCCACAAAGACCGCATGTTGTAGGATGTCGTTTATGAGAAATATCCAAAGGAGATAAATGCATCAAGACGGAAAGCAGACCAGTGGTTGCGGTGCGGGGGGGATGGAAGCAGGATAAGCCGAGGGTGACTGTTAATGGCTTGTAGATCTCCCTTTGTGCTTGTGACATGTATGGAACCAAATAGAGGTGCGCATGTCATGACATTGTGAAAGTTTAAATGGCAAGGATGGAGGCACCTGGGTGGCTCAGTCAGTTGAGCATCAGACTCTAGATTTCGGCTCAGGTGATGATCTTGCGGTTCGTGAGCTCGAGCCCCACACTGGGCTCCACACTGAGGGCACAGAGCCTGCTTGGGATTCTCTCTCTCCCAGCCTCTCTCTCTGCCCCTCCCCCGCTTGTGCTGTCTCTGTCTCTCTCAAAATAAATAAATAAACTTAAAAAAAAGCCACCTTTATAATTGCTAACTCTATATTATGTGATTTTTGCCCCATTGTTTTAGAAAGCAAAAATGGGACTGGGGTGCCCGGTGGCTCAGCTGGTTGAGCGTCAGACTCCTGATTTTGGCTCAGGTCGTGAACCCAGGGTTGTGGGATGGAGTCCTGGGTCAAGCTCTGCACTGAGTGTGGAGCCTGCTTGGGACCCTCTCCCTCTCTCTCTGCCCCCCCGCAAAATAAATAAATAAACATTGAAAAAAAGATTCTCCCTCCCTCTGCCCCTCTCCCCTACTTGTGCATGCACTCTCTCTCTCTAAAATAATAATAATAATAATAATAATAATAATAAAAGAAAGCAAAGTGGGCCTTCCTTGGCCCCCTTCTACTTCTGCGCTGTTGCTCCCCTGGTTCACAGCCCAGACTGTCCCCAGAGAGGGAGAGGGAGGGTCTGAGTGCCCAGGGCCAGTCAGGAGCAGAGGGAGGAAGAACCCACCACCCCCTTATGCTTTCCTGTTCCTTCTGGCAGGAGACCCTGAGCCTCTGCCCAGGTGTGTGTGAGAGCCGAAGGGGAGGCCCTCCCGTTCCTACGGACGGGGACCCCGGTGCCCCCTGTGTCTCACCAACACCTACACGTGGGTGGGTGTGTCCCCCCATCTCCATGTACCTGTACTCCACCTCCCGTCCCCTCCCAACCCGCACAGCTGCTGTGAGCTCTCACACCAGATATGCACACAGGGGGCCCACATGTACCTGCTGCGATCAGACCCGGGCAGTTACACAGATCAGAGACCCCGCCTGGGGAAGGACTCACGCACCCGCGGAGTCGCGGCTATAGGCAAGCCTGCAGGCACACACAGACAGACGCTCTCACAGTAGAAGCCGGAAGACGGTGACTGACGCCCGTGTCCCTGACAACCTTCACCCTAAGATCTACCGCCACAGCCAGGATGCGCATCGGATGTGCGTGCACTGTGCGTACGCGGCCCGCCTGGGTCAACAATTCGGGAATCAGAGGCCTCCACTCAGATCCTGTTTGCCTCGGACTTCGTTCGGCTGGGATCTGGGTCCCAAGATCCACCCCAACACTCTGATTACCCACAGTCCTTCCCCACAACCCGGGCTTGCATAGCCTCCTCCGGGGAGACACCCAGGGGCACACCCTCCGTTGGCGGCTGCGGGAGCGCTCTGAGGGGGTAGCAGCGGGAGCCCTGGGTCTCCCCACTGATGCTCAACACCAGGAGCCCCAAAGTGGGGTAGGCAGGGCGGGAGGTTGCTCCTGCAATTTTCAAGCTCTTCTCCAAAGGCATCCCAGAGGAGACCTGTGCTGGGGGCGGGGGGGGGGAGGGGCGGGGGGAGGGCACCCTCAGGGCCCCAGAGTCAGGAGGGGGCCTCAGGGAGACAGCTAGAGACTTCCCTGAGATTAGCCCACAGGGGTACATGTGGCCTCCAAACCTTCCCTGAGGCCCTCTGTGCCCAGTTGGGAGCTGGGCTGTTCTGAAACCCCGCAGAGGAGGGTTAGGTGGGGACAAGGAGGTACGAAGAGGACCTCTAAGGGGACAGGGCAGGGAACACAAAAGGAGGTGATGCCCCTCCCCTTCCCCCTCAGGGAGTGTGGAGTGTGGACACTCCATTCCCAGTGCCCGAGCTCCATCCACACCCCACCAACAGGCACCCCGGGGCCTCCCAGAGAGGATGCCTCCCAGAGCAGGCTGGTGCCCACTTTGGTGAGGAAGCCCCGCGTCCCAGACACTGGCAGTGGTCCAGAGGAGGGGCTGACGTCCGGCCTCTGCAGAGGCAGAGGCACCGGGCCAGAGATGGGCTCTCCACAGCATGGCCTTGCTCTGGGCCCAGGCTGCCCCAGGCTGAAGGACTGAGGAGGGAGGAGACGGTGCCAGGCCGCCCCAGCCACCCGCAGCCGGGCTGGCCTCGCTCTCGGGCCGCAACGCAGCTCAGCCTCCACTCTCCTCCTGGATCCGTGTTGTCACTTCCGACACGCCCACCTGGGGCGGGCACGTGTAACCTGGAACACGGCACCAGCCCGTGTATTAGTTTCCTGGGGCCGAGGAGACAAATGGCCACAAACTGGGTGGCTCAAAACAACAGCGGTGTGCTGCCTCACAGTTCTGGAGGCCAGGCTTGGGTAGGGGGACCCACTTCTGGAGGCTCTGAGGGAGGGTCAGGCCTACGCCTCTCTCCTGGCTTCTGGAGGTCACCAGCACCTTGACTGTGTCACTCTGATCTCTGCCTGTGTCTTCCCATGAACTTCTCACGTCTATATATCTTCTCCTCTCCTTGTAAGGACACCAGTCATTAGACACCAGCCATTTGGGGGACCACCACCCAGGATTTCATCTCGAGATCGTTATCTATTTACGTCTGTAAAGACCCTATTTCCAAACAAAGTCACAATTCTGAGGTTCCAAGCAGACACGCATTTCTTCTTCTTTTTTTTCAATACTGTAGTTGGGTTTTTCCTGTTTTATTAAAAAAGTTTATTTCTTTATTTTGAGACAGAGAGAGAGAGAGTGCTCATGTAAACAGGGGAGGGGCAGAGAGAGAGGGAGAAATAGAGAGCCCCAAGCAGGCCCCATGCTGTCAGCACAGAACCCGACTTTATCTCATGACCGGGAGACATGACCTGAGTGGAAATCAAGAGTCAGACGCTTAACCGACTGAGCCACCCAGGTGCCAAGAACACACATTTCTGAGTGACACTATTTAAACCCACTACAGCATCCCCCCTGCTTCTGTTCTCTGCTTTGGCTCTGACCTCTGCACCTGCTTCCCACACAACACCAGAGGGATCCTGCTAAACAAACCAGATTCCATCCTTCCCCTTGCTTAGAACCATCCATGGCTCCCTAGTCCCAGATGCCTCCCTGCAGCCAAAAGTCTGCTCCTTGTTAGTCCCTCCAGTTTCCTCTCAGCCCCCTCTCTCTCTTCCAACACCCACTTTGCATCTCTAAGCTAAAATGGGATGGGAGCATTTTCAATTTCTTGAATGTACCAGACTCTCACCCCAGGTCCCACCACAACCCTCATGCCTCCCTCCCATCTGCCTCAACTAACTGGTCTCAGATCACCTGCCACCTCCTCCAGGAAGCCTTTCGTGATTACCCCACTCCTGGCTGGGTCTGGT